GCGATTAAAATGCGTTAATTTTTTTAACGCGTTAATTTTTGTGTAATTAATTAATCTTAATTAACGCGTTAAAGTCCCGGCCCTAATATAAACGTAATAACAAAATCCACATATATATAAATAAGTTCAAAATATTTCGGATCCACACACAAATGTTCCTTGTTTTAAATAAATGTAATATAAATCCACAAATATATATATTTCAAAGTGTTTAATGTTTTGATCAAAAACATATTTAAATATTGTTATGCTTATATTGAGAACCTATTGACCTTTATTGTGCATGAATCTCTCTACGTTTGTGCGTGGATGTTTGCGCCACCAGGGAGCATCGCACTTTTAATAGATATATTTGTTAGTACATTGAGAAATATCTTTGAGGATAGACGTTTATATATAAATCCAGAAGTACAATTGTGAATCGTTCTGTGTGCTATTGTTAATTTTGACACTAATCTGACCCCATATTCCCCTGTGTGATTGGCTCATACACGTTGTTCCTGATGTTAGCCTCTTTGACCCGCCCTCCAGTATCGGCAGTGGAGACAGAGCGGAGCACCACACACATATTCCTGCTGACCACAGGATCACGGATTTTGGGCCGTTGCCAAGGCAACACTACCCTCTCGTGGCTGTGCTGACGCTGGCAGAGTCTGAAGCCAGAGACTCGTACAACATCGTAAGTACTCACGATCAGACATTTCCGTCAGTGTTACTTACATGTTAATACCTGTCTTAACCCTCCCCCAAAGACACATGGTGTTAATTCAATGCACACCGTGCATAAGTACAACACATGAGTAGATGTACTTGGCTTCTTTCCACCACTGATTGACACTCAATAAAATATCCTCCTGGAAAAGCACCTTAAAAGTCCTGAAAATATTTTCTTCCCCTTCCGCTTCTTTTGAGTACAGACATCACAAGATTTCTGTGTTTGTGTTTTCCTCTCAGAATCCCATCTGATCCAATGTAGGAAGGAACCCATCAGTGATATGTCTGATGAACTTATCTTATTTTGGAGTTCCTGGGAACATCTGATCAAACCATGACACATTAAGGGGCTGCAGGCCGGATTCAAACCTGTGTGCGCCTGCGCCATACAGCGGTCCAGGCTTCTTCTTTTTAGAAACACTTACATACAAAGCCCTTTTGGGACTGGATTTACATCTTCATAATCTGTTTGCCAGCTCATAGAGTCCTGTTGTGAACCTGGAAACGATGAGTACTCCAAAGTTTTATGTTAGACATTTAAATATATAGAAAGCACATAGAGCCTGCCGAATGCTAACTCACCATGTCGGACAATTTGCACAATTGGCACAAGTTGCATTAATTACAATTATAGCTTTAGTTGACAATATACATTTATTTTGGGGGTTAAACATTTTTTGGGGGGTTATTGAGGATGGTGGATGCATTTTTGAGATTTTCAGGATAAAAAATTACCGTTTTGACAAGAAAGTGTCCATATTTGTAATTCTGATGGATTGACTTTGATAAATTATTGTCCGATCTTGAAGTTTTAGGGGACTCTGGATCACTTGGACTGGACAGAATGCTTATTTATTTGAAAAATAATTGTCCATAGTAGAGGTCATATTTTCATCTTGTGTTCCCTATATTCAGTAACGCTACTCATGGTAATCAAAATCAGCCCACCAAGAGTACAAATATGGCCACTTTGTGGTTAAAACGACCATTGTCGATTCATGATGGTGTCCTTGTTCTTCCAGGTGGCCTCTGTGACAGTTCTTCATGTTCCTGATGACAGATACAGCCTCTCTGCTCGGCTTCTCTTCCAGTACCTGCTCACCGCACAGGGCAACATGTACGAGTTAAAGGTAAGTCACATTCTATTGGGTCAGATTAGTGTCAAAATAAATAATTGCACACAGAAGGATTGACTAATGTAATTCTGAATTTATGTATAAATGTCTCAACCTACAAACGTATTTCTCAATGCACACACAAATACTCCTATGTAGGCCTATTCACTTTGGGCTGCATCTTCTATGAATGGTGCAATACAAATCAAAAGTATTATTATTCATGTGATTGATGTTACTGTGAGAAAACAATGAGCTTTGCTTCCTGCAGCCTCTGTTCATGTCAGCTGACAGCATGTTGTCAGAGACTCCTGACTCAGAGCACAGCACCCAACCCAGGGAGGCCTACGACGGGGCCAGCAGGGGGGAGCAGAGTCCAGAGGAGGAGGTGGAGGAAGCGGAGGAGGAGGAGGAGGAGGAGGAGGAGGACGAAGACTGGTCTGAGGGGGGGGGCAGAGGCTGTGTGGTGTGTCAGAACGCGGCGGTGAACAAGGTGCTGCTGCCCTGCAGACACGCCTGTGTGTGTGACAGCTGTGTGTCGCGCTTCCAGCACTGCCCCATCTGCAGGGCCTTCGTGCTGGAGGCCTTCACTCTGACAGAGCCCCCCTCTGTCTGGGGGACCGCGTAACACTGACTCACACTGAACCACTTATATAAGGGCTAAACTGCGCTTTCAGCTCTGACCATGTACCATTTGTAAATGTATGCTTTATTCAGACACGATGAACCTCAGGATGGGATCGACCAATTGCAAGTGTAAAGGTCAACTAGAGACACGTTCCCCCTGCCATATCTGTCACTTTCTCTCAGAGTAACCCCCAAAACAGACGCCTCCACTTCTTTATTCTCAGAAACACACATTATTTATTGTGTCCTGTCGATACCACTCAAATTAAATCTCCGCTGATCACTTTAAGATTGTCGAGCAAGAAAAGCAGTTGCTAAGGTTGTATATAACTGAGTGATATTTTCATGTACAAATAACTTATGTTGACTCTGTTGTTTGTTTTAGAATAAGAAGGATTGACCTCTTTTACAGGACCAGTGCAGTATTTATTGACCAAAGCTTATTACTTCCTGAGCTTTAATCTGACTGTAAATAAATGTGTTAGGAATAATTAAAATGACTGGTGATTTATTGGAAATGTGTTCAGGATATGATCCCAGATATATCTGACTTTTGTCTGAAAACCTACTTTGAAAGTGGATAGCCGGTTATTGGAATATTGCATCAAACCCCCGGCCAGATTGACACAATTGAATGGAAAATCATCTTAGTGACTTCATGACCTTTACTTAAGATAAGACACAGCTGTGAACATTTGCTTGATATCTATATTGAGTTCCTGTTTGCTGTACCCATAGATATTATTGATACTGAAGGAGATTACGATAAGGCAAGACTCCGGAACACACTTTGACACGTGTTTAATCAGTTTTGGAGCTCAGGACGTTCACTTGAAGGTAAGAGAAATGAGAAGTCGTCAATTGAAAAACACAGAACTTTCAGTATAATTGTATATTTTCAGAACATAAAAGGTATTTATTTGTAAGTGTTAAGAGTTTTGTGGGATGCGAGAATGATCAGCCTTTTGGATCCAGAGATGAAACAAAAGGCGGGTCAGACTAATAACTGGATACAGGGGTTCCGTGTCACTTCGTAGGTTAGGAACGTGTACTTTTTCTAAACGTTTTGCATCCCACAAACATTTACAAACATTTTCTCCAGGCTTTAAAGCATGGAACACAGCAAAATGCAATGAGAAATATGAGAAAGGACTATGACACACAGTTTATAAAGGCTTGTAGTCCAACTTGGACTCCAGCTTCTTCGAATCAGCCACCTTCCTCACGGCTTTCATGAAGTCTTCCTGAGTGACGTACTCGCGGTCAGCGCGGATGGCAAACAAACCTGCAAACAACAGAAAAAGGGGAATTTTTGTAAACAACATAGACTGAAGGAATTTTTTTTTTTTTTAAATGATACTGAATAGAAAATGTCTAACCTGCTTCTGTGCACACGTTCCTCAGGTCGGCTCCGTTGAAACCGTCTGACAGCTTCACGATGGCTTCGTAATCTGAAAACAGGCAGAGGCGTTCACAGTCAATACACCGCTTACTTCTCTCCCTCTGTGTACAGGACTATTTGGCCCGACCAAAAATCGCTTTTAAATGTGCTTTATAAATAAACTTTGATTTGACACTCTCCTCCTTCTCACTGTTAGTTGCTAGTAATGTCCATTATCTAGAGACCAGGGCTTATTGTACTAGTACAGTCCAGTGTAGGAACCTCATTTTTTTAAGGTTACCAGTATGACAAATGTTGCAGTACTGTTTTACTAATACCCAGTATTTTATAATATGACACGTCGTATATTTGTGTGATAAAATAAATACTGTTCTGAAATACTGTGAACAGAGCAGTTATGCATAACAAGTACTTTTAATGTTGATACTGTTCGCTTATAATACTTGCGTACCGCTGCAATTTAAGACCATAGTTTTTCTACTTTTACTAAATAATCTGAGTACTTCTTCCACCTCTGGATGTTACACAATTTGGCTGATGGTCATTTTGTTTGAATAAAAATTAAGCCTACATCAGCACCCTGCCAACAATGTCACTGGGTCTTAGGAAAACATGGAAGAGACTAAAAGCTAAACTGAGGCAACATGGGGGGGCAGCGGAGTCATGTGGGACTAGGTAATGGTAACATTCTGTTTAGTGGTGCAGTCCCGGCTTAATATCAAACTGGTTTGATAATGTTTACATTGGCCCGACCGTAGTGAAGAGAATGAAGACAAATGAAATGCTGCAATTGATTGAGGTGGAGTAAATGCTATGATAAGGCAGTAACAAAGTAACCAGCATTAGAACTAAAACTCTAAAAGTGGAGCTTATACAGGGCTCGACATTAAGGACTGCCCGATGGCCCGGGGCCATCTAGTATTTAGCTTGGGCAATGAAGCCTCACCTGCTGGTTGCCCGATCAGGCAATCTATTATACCAGTATCATGCAGCTCGCGGATCAGTAATGAGTGACCCGACAGTAAAACTAAACATATCTATAACTAGTTTAGGTAGTTTGAGAGGTAATTAAAATAGCTACGTGTGATATTCTAACCTGAAGTGTGTGTTTTGTTCCGCTCACCGCTGCATGTGATCATGCAGAGCTGCGTAACGACTCGTCAGCAGCAGCTGATCTCTCTCTCCCCCGTCAGATTAGACTTCACTCGCGTTTATGTCCATATTGATCAGATCTAGCTAATGATAGGACTACCTGCTTATTAAAAGACACCTAAACAATAAGTATCGCTATGCAACTGGGTGAGGCCACAAAGTATAGCGCAGCATTATGCATTTGTTTACATGCCCACCGGAACCCCGAGGCATTAGCAACAGATCAACGCACAATCAACCCATACAGGACATCTCTTTCTCCACATTAAGTGTTAGACATTAGAATTGACTATTCTTGTCTGTCACATACTCTTCTTGTCTGTCACATAAGTGGCGCAACTGAAGCGGTATTGCGCTAAAGGAAAATTATTTTGACCGGACATTTTGACCGAAGAGATTTAGATTTGCCGGCTAACGGGAACTCTGACGTCACCATTGTGTGTGCTTCGCGGATGCACTCGGCTGCTCGGGTCTGCTCGGTCAGCTTCTGGATGAGGAGGCATTCCTTCGACCAACTTACAGTAGATAACATTACAAACATTTTTAACAGGGGCCATAATAGTGTAAATAATGTTTGTTTTGGCAGTAATAACTGAATGTAATGTTTTCTACTTTTTTACATCTGGGTGTCTTGACCAACAACTTAAGTATTTCTTATAGCTATGCAGAAGGAAAGAAACAAACAAGTGAAATGAAGAATAAAATTGAAATTGTACAATATAATATTGTG